ACATGGAGTGTACGAAGACAATCTATCTTAATCTGGAACTCGGCAATTTGAATTTACTATTGTACTTTTTTCTCTCTTTTTAGTTAAGATTTACGTTAAATGAGAGAATTTTGGGGGGGACATTTGTTTTTAATACAGAATATGTGTGTTGTACCAGAAACTCCTAAACACACCATGGGAGAGAGCGCTTACAAATCAGCAGATTACAGCATCATTTGTTTCTTTTCTATAAATTGAATTAAAGTTGATTTTTCATTTATTCCTCTAAAATTCTTTTTTTCTATCTGGAAAAGTTCTTACTTTTTTGAGACAGCATCAATGGAATGTAGTTCACTTGTAAATAAATATATTACCACATTCATTTTGAAAGATTTGCAGGATGCTAGATTTGACTATTCATGTTTACTAGTCAAGTGTTCCTGTCAAACCCTGAGCTTCATGATAGCATTTCAAGCAATTTTTTTTTACATTAGTACAATTGCCAAAAATCTGTTGTTTGCACTATAACTTCTAATTGGCAGTTTTGGAGGAAATTAAATACACATTCCCCAAAAGGTGATGAATGCAGTTTACTACTACTAAGAAGCAGAGTATATAGTTTGAATATTGTGCTGAATATTATGCAGAAAAAAATTCTGATTTTCTACTTGTTGTTCCTTAAATACCACCATAATGACTTTAACTGTATTGTTACAGCATCATTTTATGACATCATAAAAGCATAATGGAAATAACTTCTGTTTAAAGAATATCACATTGTAGGACATATTTTTTAAAGGGACCTCTATTTGGCACACAGAAATTTGTGTGTGTAAATTGAATTTGTACCCACACTGATCTGCATGTAGACACAGTCAAGGCTTCTTTACATATGCAAAGTGTTAAAAACAATGCATTTAGAAAAAGGAAACTGCAAAACATTACATGCAACTATACAACAGGCATGGTGAAAAGGACAAAGCAGCAAGAAAACATTTGTTCAATAAGAATACGAGATGGATTATATGATTTGTGGAGCAAAATGTTGCAAGATAATATCCCTAATTTATACAATAATATGGACCAAGTAAGTCAATGCATTCAAAAGAATGCAGCAGAGGACTCTGTATTCATTTACTCTTAGCTTTGGGGGCCTGATCAGACATACCTTACTCTTTCCAAATTCTCTTTGACTTTCGTTGAATTCACGATGACTCTAGTTTCCATCTGTGGGAATTTTGACTAAACAAAATACTCAGGTATGAGGCCTTAGAATCCTTTCATAAGATATACCTGAATTTTCATTATAATATAAGTGTCACTGCACCAGTTTGGTGTTGTGGGAAGGACAGAGGAAGAGATGTAAGGTGCTTTCCTTTTCCTGTGATCCATACACCCAGCTTCAGGAAGTGTTCCACTCCACCTCCCCAGGCCCCCACTAGCGATGAAGACCCAAGATGAAATAATAATGAGATCTTCATTACAATTTCTTGATTGCCCTGCTTAGACACAGTTCATAGTTTGTAGGTGATGAAAATTGCACTTAGAAATTTCAGGATAAAACCACACTTCCAGCTCAAGATTGAGACTCTCACCTTTAGACATCATCTCTACATCTCAGTTAAGCAGCTCCTGTTGAAAATAACAGGTATTTAGAAGATTCAGATGTGCCTTATAGGTCCAGATTATCTGTTACACTCCGTTTCTACTGAGTACAGCATAAAGCAAGTACTATGCCCTAGCACTAGTGGAAGTTAGAGCCCCTAAGGACTGGCCACTAGCTAGGGTTATCCGGAACACCTCAGACATCAGTCACGCCTCCCTATCAAACCTGTCCCTGCACCAGAGTGTTGCAGGGAGGGAAGTGCAGGAGCTGACTACTCTGGGGGATTACATTGCACCAGAAGACTCTCTAGCTGTGGAGTTACAACCAGTCTGAGTAGTGCAAATGGAGCAGAATGGGCCAGAGCATCTAACAAATAATGTTTACCTGGTGCCTTCACCCACCTAACTCCAGTGTAAGCCTTGGAAAATTTGGCCTGTACTTAAAGTGCATGAGCGTACGCGTGCTCACACACACACACACACACACAAATATAAAGAAGCAAGATAGGCCACAAATGACAGATTTAATCTGAACTTTCTGGATCTTTATATTTCCTATTTTTTGTGACAATAGAAGACTCTTGGAAGTGACCTTGTAACTCTGTCTACATTGGAAAATGAACTATTGCTCACAAAATTATGTGGCTTTAGTTTTGAGCAGCTCTGGGACAATTTGTGGTTCCAAGCAGACCTCTTTGTTTTCAGCTGAGCTTTACATTGTTTTGGGGGGTTCATTCATATCCAAAAGCCAAAGCAAAATTCAGGGGGTGTACGAACCCACGTGATTTAAAATCAAAGAAAAGAATTGCACAAACATCCCCAAACTGAAACATCTGTGTTTCAAACACATCTTCTTAGGTCCAGCTTGAACATGTGCCTACTATTCCTTACTGGTTCACTGGAGACCTACTATAGTTGAAAAGAAAGCAGATCTTAACAGGAATTTCTTTAAAGATATGTTTTATCTAGTCAACTAGTGGGCTTATTCTTTCATATTCTAACTACCACGAGTCTGTGTACATTATAATAAAATTCAAAAGGAAATAATAGCTTGTTAGGATGACATAATTATGAAAATGAATCAGAATGAGTCAAAAAGCATGTAGGTGTTAAAAGTGTGACAACTAGCTTCAATTCATACAGTTGCCTTATTGATAGCAACACAAAAGAGAAAATAAGATGGAAACAAAATAAGTATCAAATATTTTTTTAACATTTTATTGAACTGTGTTGCAAGAAAAATAATGAAATACATGGGGCAGTGTGGCAATGAAGAGCAATGCAAGACTGCCTATGTGGCAATGAAAGGCCTCCTTTTTAGCAAAGTTATTACTGTGAGCTTTTTGCAACACTCCAGATTTCAATGAGAGATCAAAAGTTAACAGCATTCCCCATGTCATAATTCCAACTCCTAAATATCAAGATCTTAATGCAGTTCATCGCTCTATTTCTTTAATTTCTACTTGTTATTTTTACTACTTTTTCCTAACTTCTGCTTTTTTGAATAATTTTCTTTTTTCATGTGACACTACATTTTCTTTCTCAGTTAATTTTACTTATTCCCTTCTATTAAAACGCTGCCGCCTTTTCTGTATCTTGTTAATGTAATACTGCTGAGCCCAGGAATTTTGGTTTGGTTTGTGAACAGAGTTTATCAGTATTCAGATACAGTTATTGCATTACAATTGATCTCTCTTTGAAACAGAAGTTTATTCTTAATATAATATATATATATATATGTTATTCATTAAGGAAATATACAACATGAGATAAAAGACAATATCAAAGCGAGATTTTTCTTTATTGTATTTTCATATAGACTTACATAACTTGATAGTATTGTATTTTTATGTCTGTTAACCACCAAATTTTCAATATTATGACATCATAACTGTTATAACATAAATTCTGTGATTCAACTCACTGTTCATATACATCAAAATGAAAAGTACAAAAAAAAAAGGAAAACTAATAAAAGACAGAAAGATACTAACCAACATGCTCTGTATCTTAACCTTGGCAAGTACTAGTGTTAGATGGGCCCTATCATACAAGCACTATTAATTACTTATGAGTATTGCATTTTTAATTTTTACATATACTGCAATAGGAAACACTTAAAGTTTTTTCATGGAACTTAATGAAGTATACAAATTATTTGTAATTATGCATCTGAAATGTAAATATGTGTATCAAAAGAAATGACAGGGAAAATTATTATGAGATCTGGAACTTGAGGATGTATGTTCACCTATAGACCTATGATTTTGACGTAATCAAATGATCCTGAGCCTGGACCCATTGCCATTTGTGGAAGAACTTCTGTTGCATTTAATAAGAGCAACATTGGACCCATAATGAGCTCACTTACAGTGCATTTACTTTTTCTGCTGCTCAGAACTCTCTCATAAACAGGAGTGGCTTTTCATTTGTACTTGTTTCAGGGCCAGTAGGTCATATAGGAACTAATCCTACAGTCCTTACAACAAGAATCTAGTTGACATCATCAGGACTGCAGAACTTGGGTCTAAAATTGCTGCTGCTAAGAACCCAGTACTCATGGCATATTGAAGTGTGCTCTACTGTAGTGGTGTAATAAAAGGATAATGGACTATGAAGCAGACTAACAAGATTTTTAAGGTGCAAAATCATTGAGTCACTTTAAATCTATTAGTTAAAATGCTCTGAACTGTTGATACAATAATCTTGATGAGTACATTTCACTACCATTTTAGACAGGTTGAGACAAATGTGCATAGTGTAATTCTCTTTCAGGGTGAGGTAGCGGATAAGTGAGTCTTGTTTATAGTGATATCAATAAAAATTGTTAATGCAAGCAGGGCTGTGTGTTGAATATTTTACAGGAACTGGGACCCCAGAAGTGGGATGACAAGTAACCTCTATATTTTTTTAATCTTTAATAGTCATCATTTTCAATCCAGACCTTAGAGCCTGGTTCTGCTCTCCTTTGGCGGGAGTTTTAGCTGTGTAAAGACTGCAGAATCAGACCCTTAGAGCTGTTGAAATTTAGCTCGACTACTCCCATGCTCTTCTCATGATACATACAAAACTGGCATTGAGATTTTGCTGCTTGTATATTTTTTTTAACTTCAGATTAACTCATTCTTGAATATGATGTAAGCAATTCAAAGCCCATCTCAAAGAAGTGTTTCTACCTAATCTCTGTGTAACCATTTTAAATATTATTTAGTCTATGAGTGGCATGCTATTTAGAATTTTCACTTGACAGTTATTTACCTCACTGCTTTCAACTATGACAGTGTTGTTCTTTTTTTTCTCATTCTTTTTGAACCCCTGTTTATATGTGTGTATTTTTTTCCTCTGCCTAGACCTGGTTAACCATTTCTGTGAACAGGTCCTCAATTTTTTACTTTGTCCCTACTTTCCTGTCGTAGCCCCATCTTCCCCTGGTGTCGACTCCGTACCCTTACAGCGCACAGGCAGTCAGCACGGCACACAGAACGCAACATCGACCTTCCAGAGGGCCAGCTATGCTGCAGGCCCAGCCTCCAATTACGCAGACCCCTACCGACAGCTGCAGTATTGTCCTTCTGTTGAATCACCATACAGCAAATCTGGGCCAGCCATCCCACCAGAAGGGACCTTGGCTAGGTCACCTTCCATTGATAGCATTCAGAAAGATCCCAGGTGGGTGAAACCTTATTTTGTCTACCGTTACATGTTGATAAAGAAGGGTTATAATTGCAGTCTACTTCTTGTATTTCAACTGTGGTGTATTATTGAAAAATGAAACAAAAATTGTGATTTGTCCTATAAAAGATTCTTTGTTCGAATTAGAATTATCTGTTTTAATGCTTTTTTTAGCATACTCTTGTGAGCTCTCCTTTAGAACAAGACGGCCTTCAGTACATACATTTGTCTACCCTTGCTAGGGCCACCATGTGAAATACTATGAAAAGAAATTATGCTGAGACTCTGGCGCCATGAGTCCATGAATCTTAACTGTGGTGGCTCAGGTTTTCCTTTTCTATTCAAGGAGAAATTTTGTTCTTCTGTAAATGTTTAATAATGTGCAAAGTGGCACCCGAGTGCTAGGCTATGAGAATAACAGTGATTGAGAGATAGAACATGCTCAGGTCTATATTTCATCTGAAGATACTGTATCTAAGCTCTGCCAGTACATGACAGCAAAATGATTTGCAGTGTAATTTTCAGTAAATGATTATTGCTGCCTACAAATTTAAAATGTAGAGCCTCTTCTCTTCATAGAAAATATTGGCTTCTATGACACATACGCACTCTGTGGTTGTATACATATAAATATAAAATATAGTCATCATTGCATTCTGTAGGTATACTGGAAATCAAAAAGTATGTGCTTGATGGCAGCATTCTAAGGGGTGAATTGTCCTCAGTTATGACAATAACAGAGATGGAGGTATTAACAGCACCTCTTAATTGGATTAGTTGTTTTTGTTTGGTTTTGTGGTGCAAAGGATCAGTAATTTTATGGGGTTTTTATGATTCTTGTAAGTTAAATGGCTTTGAAGTTGAAATCAGACTCTTGAGAAGTTACATAATTAAGCTTTTATTCACAAACATTTGACTTCTTAAAATCTGTATTCATTTGTACAGGATTTTCTGTGGTAGATATTGTGATTTTGTTGCATGGTATTTAGCAACAGGAACACCCAAAAATGTATCCCCAACAAGGTCATTAGGGAGACATTTGACCAACAAGATACATAAGATATAATGGCAAGATTTTCCTTCTTTCACTATAGAAATGAACGGTTCATAGCCTTGATAGCCTGCACTCTGTACATGTTCACTAACTGTATAGTAACTGCCTCACTAGTCCAAGAGGCCAACAACAGATTAATTTCGTAGCATATCAGGGACACTACTGCTTCTAGTACAGCTCATTATGCTAGTGACCCACTTCTCATGTGGGTATAGCTGCTGTCTCCTTATCCTTAACTCTTGATGCTACACCTTATGTTTGAATGAGGAGGAGACAACAAGCACTGTGTATTTTAGGTTTTATATATATATATCTTCGCACACAGATAAAATATCATCACACTAACATAATTTACCCATCTAGACTGTCACTAAATTCTGACACTTGTTCTATGGTATTGAATTCTTGATGGGGATACTATAGAAGGACTTTTGCATGCAACAAAACTTTGCCTTGTAATCATACCTTGTTAATGCCATACAAAAGATGTACAGGAACTTGAAATATAAGAGAAGAATGAAATTGATTGCAATAAATACATTTAGGAAAAATATATTGGAATTGAAGGCATTCCTCCTTGTGCTAAAGGAAAGCATATGTACTATATTATGGTGGTGTTGGACATATGGTTTAAAAAGATGTAATCTTTGTGGAAAATACACCATTATCACTGTAATGTTGGAATGATCAGCACCTGCATAGGTTATATGCTAGCAAATGTCAAACTTGTTCCTTTTGTAAAATGATTTTGTTTACTTTTGCTTGGTGCTCTAGCCATATTTTCCAGCCCGTTTTGTTTCTCTTCTCCTTCCAATGTAATGCATGGAATTATATGAATACTAATTTCAATAAGAATATAGGAGATGGAATATTGACATCCACAGATGTAAATAGAACTTGGTAAGCTTTACACAGAAAGAAATTTGTTTATCTACCATTTTTCATTTCATGAATTAATCATAAACAGGCTGTGATTTTTACATTATTTTTTTTTTGGTAACGGGGATTTATATTGTAGCTTATGCAAATGTATTTCATGTTGTAGATTACTAGTGAGCTACTGACTGCAGCTATTGCTTCAAGTATTTGTTATCTGCATATTCACAGATTGTGTTATTTGGTTGGTTACCTGAGTCACATGGTAGTGTTCTGAAAAGCAAATTAAAGGGGGAGGAGGGAGGTACAAATACTGTCAAAGCCAGTTGTATGGATTTTACTCAAACAAATGTTTGTAAATATTTTATTGTAGTAATCGCTCAGCTTTAGACCTAAATTATTTGTAAATAGAAATGAAAGAGTGTGACATCCTTGAGTAAAAGTGTTCTGGCTTCAAATAGAAGTCAGTCTTATGAAAATTAGCTTGATACACCAAGTAAAAGATTATTACCCGATTTTTTTTTCAACTAGTCTGGTAAGAAGGAATCAAAGTGAGTTGAAGGTGGGGAAAAACTCAATTTCTCAAGTTAAAGTGATTAGTTTAATTTGAAGGATGAAGTTCTGGCCTGTTTTACACAGGTGGTGGTAGAGACAGGGGTACAAGATGAGGAGGAATGGTGTTGGACATCTCTTCCCAAGCAACAGGAACTCTCACAGGAGCAGCAGATAATACAGACCCAGCACCCCCTTGAATTCTATGCACAGATCCTGTTTAACTTCCATGAGTAGGATTCTAGAATCTCAGGAATCATGGTTTGGGAACACTGATAGGCTCCTTGCCACTAATAGCAGCACTAGAACAGGGCATGTAATTCTCCTTTAGCAGCAATGGTAAGGAGCACTGCTGAGCATGTGTCCTGACCTGTAAGAGTATATTCCACTGCATGGGCAAAATGCCTTACTAAGCTGCCCCTATTCACCACATTACCAGAAACATATTGACAAATTGGAGGGAATTTAGAGAAGAGCAACAAAAATACCAGGAGAGTTGGACAGATTGATTTATGAGGAAAGATTAAAAGCTTGGCTAAAAGAATAATGAGGGCAGAGAGACAAAACACCCCAAATACTTGAAGGAACACTGAGAAAAGACAGAAATCATTTAACATAGTACACAGAGGTATAATTAAGAGTAATGAATGAAATTAAGAAACAAAATTTGGGCAGAATATCAAGAAAAGCCTCCTGGTGGTGAGCTGTGTTACCCTGTTCCACAGGGATATTGTTTGGATTCTTTGAAGCTAGACTGAACAAACACCAGAAAATGTATTGTAGGGAGCAATCTTCCATTGCTCAAGGGATAAACTGGATGATCTAATAGGTCTTGGACTTCCATGATACTGTGATCTATTGCTGTGGTAAGAAAATTAGTGATCAAATAAGTTTCTGGTACTAAATCTGTATGATCTGTCAGATTTGTCAGTGGGTCACTAATGGACTAAACTAAAAAAAAAAGAAAATTGTAAAATCTGGCAGAACAATATAGTAACAGCAGCAGTCATGCTGAAAAACAGTTCAGCAATACAATCAAAACTAACTTCAAATAGAATAAAATGTAATATCCCATAGGTATAATGTACCATCGATATATTATCCATTTCCATGTCATAGTGAATGATATTGTTATGAGTTTTTACTGTTTACATTTTTATAGTATTCTGTTTTTAATAAATATGTTTCAAACAGCACCTTTAAACTATTTATACAAAATACACTGGAAAATCCAATGAACACACACACAAATGGTGCGTTTACCAAAAATACTGTACTTTCTAGAATACTCATAGAATGATAATCTGAAAGATCCCTTTTTATGACTTTTTAATTTTTTTCCCCAGCACTTTCTGGTGAAAAATGTGACAACTAAAATAGATAATTTAAAAATGTAAATAGCATTAAAAATACAAATAACTGGTAGTGGCACATTACTTTTTTGAACTGTCCAGGTAGAAATCAGCACAGTTAATGATTATGCCAGCTATTGCATAATTTAAATTTTATATCCTGAGGCATTCCTGCTGTGCTTTTACTTTCAAAGTCAAAGTTCTGATTGATTACCTCTGTTGGGGTTAATTTCCCACCACACAGAGAATGAAAGCACTGACTCACTACCTTCAAAGTTCTTAAATCATAAGCCTCTCATTGTACAAAGGAGAAGTAGGCTGAAGCAAAGCATCCTGTGTCCACTATGAACCATCAAAACCCATTTTGCATCACTTTCTGCAAAGAGCTGTGGTATATTTTCAGACCTGTCTTTGTAAAGCTTTCTTTTCCCTGTAGTAAAAAGAATCTCATTATGATAAGTGGCAATTAACATATATGCATCAATAAAAGTGCAATAAAAGTATAAGACATTGGCTCTTTAAGATAAACTAAAATATTTCTGCAGGAGTCCTTACAGAATATTTATTTGGTTTGTTTTAAGGATTATCATAATATTAACAGAATTGCTTTACTATAAAGCTTAATAATAGTGAAAGGCGCTATTACAGTGTTATGAGAGAGACCAGTAAGAATATAAACGTCAGTCTGTGTGTGTTTGTGCAAAAAAAATTATTCTCTGTGTGTGTGTGTATGTGTACATTTTTATTTTTAAAAATGTATAAGGCAGTGTGATATACTTGTGATAGACAGAAATACGAAGCAGGCAGTACCCCAGGAATAGTTATTTGGTGACTTCCTTGTCCCTATTAACACTCCCCATTGCAAGGATGTCCATTTGTAATTTTTTTTCCAGCGTTCCTTTCCCAACCCATTAAACTGGCAGAATCAAGTAGCTGTAGCCCTAAGGTGATAATTTTGCAATTGACGGTGGTGGCTGTATCTTTCTCTCTTCCAACAGGATATCTGTTCTGTTTTCCCTTTCTTATTGCTGAGGTGATGGCATATCCTCACAGGCATTTATCAATAGTCATCTAAGTGCAGAACAATGAACCAATATGAAATATTAAAATCAAAGGGACGATACAACCAACCCAAGCAGGCACACAATTCAAGACAATTGATA